TTTTTGCGAGTCTGTGGCGTGAAGGCGGCGCACACAGAGCAGGCCTGGGAGAGGTGAGCTTCCCCCAGGCAGGCCAAGCAGAGATTATGCCCGTCCGTGTCAGGGAGCACGTTCGGGCAGGCCGTGCATCTCTTGAAAGAGGTGGTGGCCATTTTGGAGAAAGTCCCGAGCCGGGGTGTCCTTAAGCGTAGTCCGTGAGACGATCCGCGTCGAGGGGGATAGATGTTTAGAGTAGTCGTTAGCCAGTCCGTTGTCAAAAAACCAGAAGAGAATATAATAGCTAAGGTTCGTTTTGCTGATTCTGCTAACGGCGGAAAAAAAGAGGATGGAGGGCGGGCTCCACGTAGGGCCTTATATACTCGAGGAGGGGGAGGGGGAGCCACGAGGGGGATACAATTCTTTGAGCTTTCTAGAAGGTTCCGAAGCTGGCCTGCGCTGGCGCAGGGATACCACAATGTGCGATTCACAGTTAACTACGACAGATATGAAGATATAGGCATGGAGAGATGTCTGTAGAAGTATGGTGTCTGATCATGTAATTGTCACTTGCGCGTTATATTGCGGAACCTCTTAACATAAGGACATTTCTAATATCCTTGTCCCAAATGCAAGAGACACAAGAGAGCCTCCAAACCTTCTAGATAAGCTTTTCATGGCTCAGCTACCTTCAGAGGGAAAGGAGTAACAGGAAATTCCCTTAGGAGCTGAGGCAGTACTGCATATACTTCTTGTAATTGTCTCCTTTTCAGGCATCCAACTCTGATGTGGCTTAGAGCTGCAGGGGGAGGCAAGCAGGGCTTGGCCCTCCCCTATCCCTCATGGCAAGGTCCTGCAAAACAGAAGACTCTGCGATGGGGAGTTCTGAACCTTGGCCAGATTTCTAAATTGCAGAAAACCTTCCCCTTCTGGAGACCTGCCAGAGGCGGTTTCAGTGAGCAAGCCTGACTTGTCCCCTTAAGCAATTCTAATTGTATGAGGCTGGATTGCCTTGAAGTGGCTTTTGTCGCTAAAATGCACAGCAATGAGCATACAAACTCACAGAGCTCATTACTGCAATTGCTTTTGTTTGTAGTTTACATGCACATATGCCCTTGGAAATAAATAATACTGTTGGAAGAATAATCGTTATTTATTTTATTTTTATCAAGTTTCTATATTTAGTGATACACAAATAAGAGATTGATATGTGGTGCTGCTTTTTTAATATTACAGAAAGAAATACTTGAACCATTCAGGCTAACTCTTAACAAAAGGTGATCTGAAAAGATGTCAGTTACATATGTCAAACGTAACCTCAGACTCTCTCATTAAAAAGTCTGAATGTCCTTTCTTGGTCCTCAAGCAAACAGGGAAACTCCTGGTACACAAGGCTCATCAAAGCATTTACTATTCCATCTAATGCAAAGCTGTTGAAAATAAATGAAGAATTTTATAGTGGCTATAAATGGGAAGCTGACTGATCCTTTTATTAAGTTGTATTCTCCTATTGCTTTTGATGTACTTATACAATACAGAATAGAAATTGTGGCTAAAGCTAATGCAGGTGGGTGCGGTGTCATCTGTATGCAGATGATGTCCAGCTCTGTCACTCCTTCCCACCTGTTACTAAGGAGGCTGTCCAAGTCCTGAACCGGTGTTTAGCAGCTATAACGGACTGGGTGAGAGCGAATAAATTGAAACTTAATCCAGACAAGACAGAGGTCAGTCGCAAGGCCAAACAGGGCATAGGGTTACAGCCTGTGCTTGACAGGGTTACACTCCCCCTGAAGATGCAGGTTCACAGCTTGGGAGTGATCCTGGACTCATCGCTGAGCCTGGAACCCCAGGTCTCAGCGGTGGCTAGGGGAGCTTTTGCACAATTAAAACTTGTGTGCCAGCTGCGCCCGTACCTTGGGAAATCTGACTTGGCCACGGTGGTCCACGCTCTGATTACATCCCAAATAGACTACTGCAATGCACTCTATGTGGGGTTGCCTCTGAAGACTGCCTGGAAGCTTCAACTAGTCCAACACTTGGCAGATTGCTCACCAGGGCTGGGTACAGGGAGCGCACAACACCCTTGTTACGCAGGCTCCACTGGCTGCCTATCAGCTTCTGAGCACAATTCAAAGTACTGGCTTTGGCCTATAACTCGCCTCGAATCGCCTCCGGGCTAAGAGGGGTGGTATACAAGCATAGTAAGTAAGTAAGTAAATAAGTAAGTAAATAAATAAATAAAATAAAAAACCCTTAATGGTTCTGGCCCAGTTTACTTGTCCGAACGTATCTCCCGCTACGATCCATCTAGGGCCCTAAGATCATCTGGGGAGACCCTGCTCATTGTTCTCCCACTGTCACTATCGCGTCTGGCAGGGACAAGGGATAGGGCCTTTTCTGTGGTGACCCCTCAGCTATGGAACTCCCTCCCCAGTGAAATTAGATATGCTGAATCCCTCTTGACCTTCCGGAAACAATTAAAATCCTGGCTATGGGATCAGGCTTTTGTAGATTAGGTTGACTGGCTGACGTGACAACTTATATAGAACTGACTGCCCCTTGGATGTTGATTCAAACTAGGAACCACTGACTGCTTGATTGTTTTTATACGTTTTTATATTGTTTTGTACTGTTCTATACTGTTTTATACTGTTATGATTATACTGCTGTTAAATTGTATATTTATATTTTTCCGATGTGGGTGCTACGGGGTGCCGATTTGTTAGCTGTCCTGAGTCCCTCTTTGGAGGTTGAGTTAGGACGGGATATAAAAGCCCAAAAATAAATAAATAAATAAATTATAAGCACAGCCCATCAGTCCTTCATTTAAGTCAGTGGTTCCCAACTTGTGGTCTGTGGACCAGCAGTGGTCCACACAGCAATGAGAGCGACTGGTCTCGCAAAACACTCTTATAGTGCTGAGGCAACGGGGATGTCGGGAGGGGAGAGGATGACTACCCACGAAAGATTACTATGACCACATCAGCTCTAGATTATTAAATATGGTTTTCTGTGGGCTAGCAGATGGCATATGTTCTGTATCAGAAACTAGAGCTGATATGGTCTATCCAATGCAATTTTCTGAATCAGCACCCCAAATAGCCAAATCGAATCTAAGGTTGACCAAAAACTGATCTGTAACCCTTTTGGTTGTAATGTTGAAGTTAAAAAAAGGTTTGGAACCACTGATTTAAACTATTCATCCATGAATGTGGTGATCTCTTTCTCCTTCCCACCTCTAGTCTGTAATAAGTCATGCATTTGGCCCAGGCATGCATTTTGCACCTCCTTTAGATCTACATTCTACACACAAAGTGGTTGTAGATCTTTTAGGATTACAGTGACAAGTACACCTTTGAAGATATGTAAAGCACATTGTTCAGGTTCTATATATTTGTGAATTTTTGTGTCAAATACAATAAATATTAATAAGATGCCGTTAGGAAAGAAACCTAGTCATGCACATTGGGCTTATATTTATCTAATATCAGACTCAGTTTTCCTTTGATATGTTGCTTCCAGCAATATTATGTGGCCATTCTGTGCTCTCCCTCCTCTCAGCAAAAATAACAAATCAAACTACCTTAAGAAGTGCAGGAAATATATTTAGGTGAAGCTGTATTGGCCAGGCAGGAAAATCCTACAAAATGTAGCTCTAGAAAGATGGAAGGTACTTTGCTGTTTCTAATGGATTTGGATTAGCTTTTGTTCCTTATCCTCACATGGCCAATAGGTAGAGTGGCCTTTGCTTTCTTTGATGCCCTCCAGTCCAGACCATCTTAACTGAAAACAGAAGTAATGTCTGAGACAAAATATAGGCCTGCCAATTTTGTTTATCCTGTCTGAAAATAGATGAAGAGGCCACTAATTCTTGGAATTCTTGCATGATGTGTTTTGTGCATTATAGCTGGGCCAAGGTATCACTGTTTTTTGTATTTACTTAAGGAAGTGTTTAATTTATCCTGGCAGAATATAGTTAGATTTTTAAAAGTAAAGTAAATTATTAATATCAATGCATATAAGTAAGTACATCTTAATAATTTTACAAGCCCGTGAAACCAGACATTACAAATTTAAGCACTGGAACAGGTATCAGATTAGATTCAGTTGTTCAAAACAATTACAAGCATTCAATACATTACTTTTTTAAATAATTTCAGAAGTCTACAGAACAAATGAAGAAAGTCCCTACCATTGTTTTATCAGTCTCTTATAAGGGAGTAAAATTTATTGATGCAACAAATAAGGTAGGTATTATTTCATCTATTATTTATAAATAGCTGCTCCATTGCCATCCTTTCTTCTGTTAGCTATAGTGTGTTTGAATTCCTTGTATCTCATCTTTCAGCACAATAGATTACCCCTATGAAGTCATTTTCCTTGTCCCTAAGAAATCTGTCCCCAGCTTTAAAAAATGGGAAGTGTTTACATTTCTAAGGGAGTCTCAACATTTCTGGTACTTGTGGAAGCTACTTGAAATGCTACTCCTTCTCATGCCACCAGAGTAATGTGAGAACTTTCACATCAATGGAGCACACAGTCTGGATCCTTCCATGGAAGCATCAACCCCCAAACACTAGGTCAATATCCATAAAAGGGGTAGCTATAATGTTGCTTCCACCAGACCTAAACTCTCGTCATATTCGTATTTCGGCTTTCCTGGTCCACACCAGCCCAATGACCTCATCTGACTACATAACCAACCCACACCCTTGCTGGCTGTTGTACACTAACGTGGATGTTTTGCTTAGATTTATGTTGTTATAGAATTTTGTCTGATTACATGTAGTTTAATTTATTGATGTCAGGTTTAATTTACTGATGTTAGGTCTTAATTTGATGTTAGGTTCTAATGTGACTTTTATTTATGGGGTTTTCTGGGATTTTATGTTAGTATCATGTGTTTTATGTAGGCACTGAATGTTTGCCATGGTTATGTTGGAATCCGCCCTGAGTCCCCTCGGTGAGATAGGGCAGAATACAAATAAAGTTGTTGTTATTTACTAGCATGGAAAGGAGAAGCCGTTGCCCTTGTCTACACAAAATTTCCCTGAACCTGGTACAATATTGTGAGAGCCCACCTTCTCACCTGCACCATGATATATCTGGTACAACCAAATGTACAGCACTTCAGTTCCTCTAAATGCTATGAACTTTTTATAAGGCTTCTCACTGGGCTTTATGTATTGAATGTTCTTTACCAGTCAATTTGTGTGAGAACTGAAAGTAGCCCTATGAAATAGCTCTAAATGACAGAAATGTGCAATTTCTTTCTGCTTTATATAGTGAAAATTACCCAGGTGAGTACCATAGTTTTGTGATCTCAAGCTTTAATCCTTTTCTTTTTCCCTTGAGATTTGTACTTGGATAAACAGTAATGAACTAAACACATCCGGCACATACACAAATCCACTAAGTAAACATGGCGTATTCACTTGAGAGAATTCAAATTCTAGCAGACCTTTCAACGAACCAGAACTGAGTTTTAAATGTACAGTACATTAAAAACCATGAATCCCACTGAGTTTTAAAACCATCACTAGGTTAAGGGCAAGAATTCCTTTTACTCTCTATGCTGTCTGGGAAACAGAGACATCTCGTTCTGAAAAGCTCTTCTTTTTTTTTTCATTAAAAGCAGCATTAACACAGTCTCCAAGTTATGGCGATATTTTTACTTTTATTTGTGGGAAACTGGATTCTTGCTTCTTTTTTTCTATCACTGCAAATCTGATAACAATCTACATTATTTAGTCCAACAGCACTGAAACTAAGAATAAAACAAAGGGATTGCATAAAATTAAATGAGTATTAAACATCACTTAGTTTAAAGATCTATACAAACTGGTGCTCATTAAGGCAAAATCATTAATTTGATTGTGGTTCTCTGTAGGGGATGCTTTATGCAGAAATAATAGTTTCAAAAATGCTCTAACACTTTTAGATAAGAGAATTTAATAGCGGAATGTTACAATCACTTTGAATCATGAGAGTTTAGAATACGTATTATTTTAAAAGACAGCTAAATTAGTATTCCATTGAGGTCTCAGAATCAGCTTGTCTTGAGGAAAGAGATTAATGATGGGACATGGAAGGCTGGGCATGGATTGACAATAGTCCTCATTCAGAAAACAAGCTTTCATCACACAGTTCAGAATATTAGCAGAAAACATATGCCTCATTCTTGTAGCACTAGTGCACAGTGCGCAAATAGGAATTTATGGATTATGGAAACAGTTATTCTTGCCAGGTGTATATAATACACAAAACAAATGCATGCTGGTGACTTTAATCTGAAGCATCATTTAGAGAAGATAGATGCAATATGGGTATACATTCTTTCTATTAAATTTTGTAAGTAGGGTTTCTTATCCATTATGACACATTTAATTTTCCAATTTTCTGTAGCAGAAAACAGCCTGTAATTTATAATACATTCAACATTAAAGCACCAATCATTGAACATGCCAACATCATATGCCCCATGAAAGTATTATCTGCATTACTTTGCCAACCGTTTGGTAAAATGGGCAGATTGTTTTGTTAAAAAAAAGAGTGCTTGTATCCAAGGCCACCCAAAACATAGGTTTTTGATGGACAGAACATAGCTTTTTGGTCTAAACTGACAGCTAGAACAGTTTTCCATTGATCGATATGTATTAGAGAGCTCTTTGTTCCAATCAACTCTAACTGTAATTAACATCAAATTTAGTGCTTTATAAACTAGATTTGCTGGTTTCAACTTCTTTGAGGATATGAATCAGGTTTCCAACATGTCAAGGACACCTAAGGCATTCAGATGTGATGGTCCATACAAAAGCAAAAAATATCATAGTTATAAATGTTGTCACAGTACACGTGTAGGTAACTGATAAATAAACTGTAATACTGAAAAGGGCAAAACTTCTTGGTGTGGATGAATCAATTGATTCAAAATAAAGATCCACTATCAATCTATTTCTTCCACAAGCTGTGTCTTTCAATTATTTGTATAAATCAGAAGATAATATTTGCTGTCTGAAATTGTTTGTACTTTCAAGCCATCTAAACAACCGAGAAGCTCTCTCTGTCCCATTTGTACTGTGATAAAGTGTACCTTCATTTTCCTTAAACTCAGAATATTATTGCTGAACACGAGATTCGTAACATTTCCTGTGCTGCACAAGACCCTGAAGACCTCTCTACTTTTGCTTATATCACAAAAGACTTGAAGACAAATCATCACTACTGCCATGTGTTCACAGCCTTTGATGTGGTTGGTTTAAGTCATTTTCTACTTGATCACTTAATTGTTTGCAGTTTTAAAATATTAGAAATCTTTGTAATAGATATATGGGAATCATTTAGAACTGGAAAGACAACTAGTGGTTCAAGCAAATATGTGTGTGTGTCTGTGCGTGTGTGTGTGTGTGTGAGAGAGAGAGAGAGAGAGAAAGATTTCAGCTGTGATGAAGACTCTCCAGGACTGGTACTAGTACAGTAGAGTACAGCATAGTATAGTGGTCAGCATGCCTGAATTTAGTTCCCTCATAGCCTGAGTATGATGGTCCTCCAAGTTCAGTGTTTTGGCAGTGAGCCCGTAGATGGCTGTGGAGCCCTTTTCTTGATCTGCATGTTCTCCCACAGTGAGAACATTGGTTTCCAGGTGGAAGGCGATCCCGGTCAGGTTTAGCTTGACACTCCTTCCTCTTGGCATGTTTCTCTTTTGCCCTCCATCCATGCCTCTTTGGGGGGGAAAACCCTCCAGTATAGCTATATATTGTATAAAACACTGCATTTTTTTATCCTCAATCATGCTGCAACAGATGTTTTCTATACTGCATCATAACTATGCTTGATATAGAGGTGATATACATTTCAAATGCATGCCTTAAGAGACAAAACAAACTTGAATAACCTTTTCTATTATTATACTCTTAAGCCAATCAAAGCCCCAAATGAACTTGTTTGCCCCAACCAGTGTAGGCCTAGTGAACCAGTGTTTACAAGGGTTGATTTAACTAGTTCCAGTTTATTCCATGGATACATTTTAGTTGGATTTAGGCAAAATAAATTATTTTTAATAAAAAATGAGGCATCATGCTTTTAACAGATTAATTTTGCACAGAGATTACGGTTGCTAATAAAGTCTTCAAGGTACCTCATTGTCATTTATAATAGTAGGATTTTGAATTTTCTGACATACCTATTTTGAGAATTCGAATTTATGCCTTAAAGTTTTAAAAATCCTACTTCCGTCATGATTATGTCATACCTGTATAAGATTATGTCATATGTGTATAAGAAAAAAAATCAATGTGTAATTATAAAATATTAACTAAACTTTTCCTGTACAGTTAAGATCTGCATATATGTGTAAAGGTATGCAGACAGTTTATTTTCCAAAGAGTATACTGTAAATTCCACTTCAAACACCAAATAGGTTTTTCAAATGCAAATTAGATAGAAGAGAGAAAATGAAAATGTCAAGGGTATTTCCACATGGCTGGTGCTATTACGAAACATCCAAACTTGGACTGAAGAAAGCCACAGCTATGTTTTATCATGTTGAAATCATGAGAACAGGCAAAATAAAATGTAAGCTATGAGATATTTCAAAGTATTATTTTGAGCATTCCTTATGTTTTCCTATGGGTAGTGGAAAAACAAAGACAAATGATCAAAAGACAACCAAGCTGCAGCTTTTTCCTTATTCTAGTGAGTTCAGTAGCTATAAACCAAAGCTGTTGTATTTTCACTTCAATTTAAGAGTAACTATTAAGGCAACAGGTGAAAAAGCAATGAAAATATAACATGATCAATGATTACTCAGCCTATGTTGGGACACCATTCAAGATAAAGACCATACTGACTACTCTGACTTCTGAAATAACTCTTGTTAAAGAGAAACAGGATAAATTATTTACTTGTGTTTCACAACAGGTCCCAGTTTTCTATAGTGATATATGATTTCCCTGTTTACATCAGTTGACTCTGCCATGAGTTAAAGTATTTTCCAAAATATTGGCACACAAGATGTTCAGTGTTCAGTATAATGCCGATTACAGATTTTAGACAAAGCCAACTGTGCAAGTCAACAAATCCTTGCATGAGAAGTTATACCACATTTACTTCCTGACACTTAGCCACAGATCCTGCCCTCTTCCACAGCTCAGTCCCACGTAGTTCCCAACTGACCTCATTCATGGTTTTGAAGGCCTCATGAACTAGGCCAGTTGGGAACTTGCTAGCCTCGGTCTGATAGAGGACCATGGCTTCTGAAATGGCCTCATTCATGCTGGCTGCCCTCCTGATATGCTAATCCTGTGCTGTTGGACACATTACATTAGAGGGCAAATACATTTTTTGTAATATGGACCTCAAAACAGGTGCACATTACATTCAGTGGTGCATTATACTCGAGTACTTCAGTGGTGCATTATACTTTTTGCAGAAGTTGGGCATTTTGCCTGTCCTATGCCTTGTCTTCATGATTGCAGAGTTGATGCACAGTGAATGTTTACACTTTAGTAGACACATTGTGTGTGTATGTTTGTGTGGGTGTGTGTCAGAGAGAGATAGACTATATTAGTAATTAATTTTTAATAGCGGCAAATAATGCATTAGAAGTTATTTCTGTAGCCCTTTCCAGAAACAGTGCTGACTTGTATGTAGAATTTGTATTTTCTTTAAAATTATTTTAGATAGACTACATTTAAGATCACATTTTTTCCATTCCAGAATTTAGCCTATGAAATAATTCTCACATTGGGACAGGCGTTTGAGGTAGCCTATCAGCTTGCACTTCAAGCAAGAAAAGGAGGACATTCTTCAACCCTTCCAGAAAGCTTTGATAATAAGCCTACCAAACCCATTCCCAAACCACGTGTTAGCATTCGAAAATCTGTGGTGAGTAAGACAAGTACAATTGGGTGTACAGAAGAGGTCTGATGCTGCTTGCATCTTGGGGCAGATTTATGGTTGAGGCTGCAGGAGACCTGCTGGCATATTGTGCTTCCATAGTTGTGCTCCCATTAACAGCAGTATCTGGAGAAAAAACGTTGGTGAAAGTGTTCAAAACTATGAGATTTTGTCTGCTGCCCTTGCAAAACTTTAGAACTGCTAGCACAGTTTACCAATAGGCCTAATTTATATTGCATTGCAAAGGAGGAACGCCTGTGAGATGAGGCAAGATGTGTGGAAATTTTGTATTGACCACATTTTACAAATCAGAACCTTTTAAGACATTCAAGGGGGCAGTCCTAGCCATCTTAAGAGTCTGGTACATTAACTGTAACAAAAAGCAGTATTCCATATATGCAGTGCAAGTTATGGGTTCTGTGAATGCAGTGCTTCCTCCAAGCTGCTAGGAATGTACACATTTAGCATTATTTTAAAAAATCCTAGCTGAGTTTCATTAGCCTGTCTTTGTTAAACATGAAGTATATGGTTATTAGTGATTACTTGATAAAGCTATAAATATACACATTCGGACCAGAAAAAAAGACAATATGAGAAAGTGATCCTTGCATCCTGACCTTCAAGTACTTAAGCATCAAATCCTTATGTTATTGGGAATGCAAATGTCAAAGGGATGTTTTCCGTTACATGCTCATAACTTCAGATTTAATTTAGACACATCTTGTTTCACCAGCCCAGTTCTAGGAGGGAGTGAAAATAATGAATCAATGTCCCCTTGGATTATCATAATAAAACAGAATATAGGCTATAGCCCCAGGAAAGCAATACATGGTACATGCTGTGTAGATAATGATGTGCCACTGTGACCCACTTTTGAGGACTTTTTAAAATGTTCAGTACCGGAGTAGATAAAGCAGTGTTGTGTTTCTCTTTATTTGTTTCAAAGCAGATAGATCCCACTGAACAAAAGACTCTTGCCAACCTACCGTGGATTGTAGAACCAGGACAAGAAGCCAAAAGAGGAATTAATACCAAGTATGAAACCACAATTTTCTGATAGTGAACTGTCCTCTAGTTCTTGTTGTGCCTTGCACTCAAAGCAGTCATAGCACAGCCTTTCCTTGACGGCAACTCTTCAGTCTAGTAGGGGGGAAGACTGCACTATATGAGTGGCCTTGAAACTAGCAAAAACATAAAAGTGGGGGGGAAAGGCTGCTGGTCATTTCTGATGATTGTTCTTCCTGCAGCATTGACAGAAGAATGACATGGGACGAAGACATTTCAATTACAGCCCACGAGAGGAGTGGGAGATTGTTTTCACGCAAGCACTTCTCTTAGGACTTTGCCACAGTGCTTTCTTTGATTTCGTATTTTACTGTTCTACTTTTACAAAGGTCTCTAACATTAATGCTGCTGAGTAATACAACAATTCAGTTGTGGTTGGTTTTTTTAAAAAAAATCTCAAACATGACCATTTTTAAGTTGAAACAGATTCAAATTATGTAATGCAAGATGTTTCTGGAACCGTGGGAGTCCTATACAAAAAATTAATTCTACTGCTTAATATCTTTTAAACAATTAGTAAGAGCAAAACATTAGCTTCCCTGGTTTGTTTTTTGCTAGTTTTATGTAATCGTCATGCCATTTAATCCTTTAGAGAAATGAGAAATGTATAGCAGTGTTACAAAGAATCAGAGTTTTATGAATGGCTTAAAAAGAGGACTAATAATGCATGAAAAGGCACCTTGCATTGAATATTTTTGTGGGATAGAGGAAAATTATAAGTATGAATATTTATAAAGAAAGTCAGTAATTATGAAGAGAGTTTGGATTTATTTTAAAGTTAAATAGCTGCTACTGTTCTGTCTGCCAGAGCAGAAACAGTGGGGTCATCAATACACTGGATGGTTCGCTTTGTAGGAGGAGTACGACAGATGCCACCAGTGCTTGCACTACAGATACACACAACTGTACACAGTTTTTCAAGCAACTATAGCCATGAGTTTGAGTTTCTAAGAATCCGAAAGATGGTTTTAATCAAAACTAGAAATTTTATCAAATTTTCTGTCTCAGAAAGCTGGTTTTCATGAAAAAGTACAACTCAAAAGGATTTTTCCTAAATAAACTTTAAAAAAATTCCAAAGTAATAAATTCTTTCCACAAAACAACCTGTTGAGCATTGGCTTGACATTTGACTTAATACAAATTTGCTTACAATTTTCTTTGAAGTATTTTAATTTTGTAATGTCTTTGTGGAGTATTTGTATAATAACATTATGTATATTTCAGTGGAACTGAATGAATTATGAAGTAAAAAATATCAATCATAGGCAAAAAAATACATTTTAATGTATATTCTATCCAGTCAAATTGTGAGTCATTTTGAACTTCATTATAGAGATATTGATGAATAGTGTGGTTGACTTAATGTTTTTTATTATTCTTTCATATTTAACTGAAGAGATTTCAGTTACACTCAACCTGGATTTTTAACAAAATTGATAATGGAACCTGATTTAAAATTGAAAATTGTATATGATTTAGTTGAACCTAATCATAGCGCTGAATGACAAGAAAACACCTTTTAATACAGTATTCAATTTACTTGAAACGATCAGCTCCTTGTACATATTTTGCCTATTCATTGTTGATATGTATGTAGTAGGCTGAAAGAAAACACTGAAAAATATAGTACCAAAAGGAATATTGTATAGGAGAAAAGTAAATAGTAGCCTCACTGCAACAAATACTTCTATGTAAATATGCTTGGGCTTCCAGTTATAAATTTTGTAATTTTTGTCATTATTTATATCCTATGAAAGCACACAAAATAAATTGAAGTTGTACAGTCAATATTGGCTTCTATTGAACACTAGGCTGTTCGGGAATGATAATGAATGCAATTGAGCATGGAACATATTAATGTGAACCATTTCATTAGTCAATGGTTTGTCATATCTCACGTATAATGATCCTAAAGCAATGAAGAATCCTATAACACCTCAATGCTAACATGTTTTATTTGGCACAAGCTTTCATGGATTGCTGCTTACTTCATAAGATGAATCAGTCTGTTGGCAACTGACTGACTGCTGAAGAAGTGGCTTTTCATAGGATTGCAGTATTTTTTCCATTATGTACTTTTAATATTGCCATAATATAACAATCTGTTTAATTGTACTAAATTGTAGGCTGCTATTCAAAAACCTGTTAGTATTTAAGACGCCACAAGACTTTGTTGATTTTATTACAACAATCTAACATGGCTGTCTCCTCCACTAAATAATGAGACTGATGTTGGCCAAAGGCAACAACTTGAACCAGATGGCTCAGTATTATTAGGAGATATATAGTTGTACGTTGCATCTTCACCATAACACCGGGAGGACCTGGTAGTGCAGTAGGTTGAAACCTTGTGCCAGTTGAACTGGTCAACCAACAGGTTGGCGGTTCGACTCTGGGGAGCAGGGTAAGCTCCCATATGTTGAGCTCTAGCTTCCCATGTAGGGACATGAGAAAAGCCTCCAATAGGATGGTAAAACATCGAACATTCAGGCGTCCCCTGGGCAACGTCTTTGCAGACGGCCAATTCTCTCGCACCAGAAGTGATCTGCAGTTTCTCAAGTCTTTCCTAACACAGACAAAAAAATATAACAAATTTAAGTACAATCTTCACAGTTTTATATAATCCCCAAATCTGGATTTCATAAATTGTATAAGATACACCATTTTAATATGCCGTTGTATAGAAGAGACAGAAATAGTATCATGCACATGGGCGGAGGCATGCACAAGGGAATGATAGTGGACCTTTTTAGGGAGATAACTTTTCAATGGCTTAAGGCAGATGGAGGACCAAAGACACAGGCCAAGGACATGTTGTAATATGAGGAGTTAAAGCCATGGCAAGCTTTTGAAATAAATAATGAATTTGTGTTATATTTAAATGCAAGAAAGAAAACTGGTATAGGTATTTCTAAAAAGTAGCTCAGGCTTCAGGTCTATATAGCAGGGTGAACAACAACGTTGTCAATAGATACAAGTTGTATAAAAGAAAAGAGGAGAATTTTGGGGGAAAGGTAAGATGTACTGCACTTGCAATCATAATTTATCATCACCCAAACAGACCACTTTAAGATTTGAGGATAGGAATATTTGTTTCAGCGATAGTGCCGAGGACAAAATCAGATTTCCTGAGATCAAAATAAAGGATATGTTCCAAGTGTCCATCTTTCCCTTACCTGGCATATCCATTCTCTGCACCTCTCTCTGCCTAAAGGGAAACCTGGGTTTCTTCTCCTTCCCCATGGATCCGCCCAAGCTCATGTACAAAATAAAAGAATACACTCACAATACAAGTTGTTACGGTTGCACTTTATCTGCATCAGGTTTCTTGGTACACTATTCCACTATACTCTCTGTAATAACCATGGTCCCCAGCTTTCACCAGAACTCCCTTGGAGGCCAAAGTGGCACAATAGGTTAAACTCTTGTGCCGGCAGGACTGCTGACCAAAAGGTCGACGGTTCAAATCCAGGGAGCAGGGTGAACTCCCGTCTGTCAGCTCCAGCTGCTCATTCGAGGACATGAGAGAAGCCTCCCACAGGATGGTAAAACATCTGGGCGTCCCCTGGGCAACATCCTGGCAAACGGGCAATTCTCTCACACCAGAAGCGACTTGCAGTTTTTCAAGTTGCTCCTGACTCAAAAAAAAAAAAAAAAAAAAGAGAGAGAAACCCAGAACCCATTCCCTTCTTACAACCCCTGCCCTTCATCCAATGATGCCAGAAAAGGCCTCAACAGAATCTGGTTTAGAAGATTATATCCAAGTTCTGGATCCGTTCTCCAATCTTTCCTCCACCAAAGTAAGGGGAAGTATCCCTGCCCTTGTGTCCCTCATTTGGTGACAGGCATGGGTTCTTTTATCAAATTGTCTTTAGTTACAACTGAAGAATAAACACGACTTTTGCAAATTATACAAATTTATAAATTCATAATAGCCAGAGCAAAATCAAAATCGTTTTAACTTTTAACATCTACATTGGTGGTGTGTCAACTAACTGGATAAAAATGGGGAAACAATCATTTTGAATCTTTAGCAGAAGGACTCATCATTATTTTTTAGAAACAAAATGCAAACATTGGTGGATTTGCAGTAATACAGAATTATCAAATTCACACACAAGGCTCACATTAAAGGTGACCACTAAACCTCTCCTAGTGAAACAGTGGAAAGACTGCAAAGTGATATTTATTCAGTTGTTCTATGTATTATTTCTAAACGAGCAATTCTACTTCTACAACTTTGTATATGCACATACAAATACTAGATATATTATGCTTCCAAATTGAACACATTTAGATAGCAAAACCTAGGTAATAATGAGAAAATCCCTTTTCAAGAAATCTTTAAAATGTTACTTTAATCATGAAAACACTTTTGTAAGTACAAATGGATGAAATTTCCAAGTGAACTACCTTTAAGGTACTCTGTCTTCTGCTGATAAGAGATACTCTTCCATTTGTCCCCTTTTCTGTTGGAAATTGAGGCTCCTGACAGTTTGCAAGTTACCTACTTTGGAAATGAAATTAGTCTGTTGATGCCATTAAAGCCTTCTACAGGGGGTACATTTTTAAAAATGCAAAGGGACAACAATATTACATTCAATTATGTAAATACTGATCTATGCAATCTACCGATCTTGGAAGACAATCCTACTTGGACAACAAGGGATCGCCTAAGTAAGATCTATGCAAAATGCTTATAGCCCTCCTATTAAAAGCTACAGAAATTTCTGAACTCCATTGGCAGTACTGACAAACACATGAATACAGACTGATTTTTTAATATATGTCATGGCAAAAAGATAGAGATAACAATCAACTTGTATTGGCTAAGGATAGGAGCTGTTTGGAAACCGGGAAAAAACTATTAAGAGGGAGAGAGAAAAACTCATTTCAAAATCATTTTTTTAAAGTAAGGAGTTTAAACTCTCAAAGGTTGTAGGAAAATACTTTTGTACCCATTGTTCCATCTTATAGGTTGCACCTTTCAGATTTCATCAATAAAATAACACTTTAGTCACCATAAATGTGTGATCTCTTTTCATTAACACACTTCAGAAAAGTTCAGTTTTATATATCGTACATACTTTGGACAGGAGAGAAGTGAAGCATGCTCTTTCTCATTTTCTCACTTTCCTTGTGAAATGAAATAACTCTGTTACAAATACGATAACATTTTTACTGACACAAAAGGATCTGCAATATGTTCCCCTGCCGCAAAGGTAGCCAAAGTTAAAAGTGAAATCATCCATCTTGATAATACATTTACCAATCAATTTAGGGCCAGGTTTATAGATCTTGGCATTTGTAAAGAGAGTGAAACTAACTTCCATTGTGCCACAAGATCAACAAAATGTTTGCCCAAATAAACCACTTTCACAAGTATGGTATCCTAGAGTGCATCTACATTGTAGTTGTTGGAAGTAATTAACGCTAGTTGGAAGTACAGTATATTCTGGCGTATAAGACTACTTTTTAACCCAAGAAAATCTTCTCAAAAGTCAGGGGTCGTCTTATATGCGGGTGTAGTCTTATGCATGGGAATCATCTTAACTCTATATTTTAACTGGAAAAGTTGGGGGTCGTCTTATACGCCCAGTTGTCTTATATGCCGGAATATACGGTAATTAACTTTGATCCAATAGATCCTTTGACTACCAGCATTCCAATAGGCTGTCCCATTCATATGAATAGAGAATAAAACTCCATAAATACAAGGAATGAACACAGAATTGTTCAGTCTGTTCAAATGAATGAACAAAATACTTGTGCAGTAATTATGCATTTGCCCAAGTGTGTATAATTCAAGAATCATATAACTTACAGGATACTTGCTGTTAAAAAAATCAACAAATAAGCAAAATGTTAACCACTGAATGAAAAAGAACCACTTCAATGTCATAGTAGCAAAGGAAACAGAAAACATTATTCATTATGGTGCTGGTCATTGACCGTAATATGTATTTTCAAATAATTTTATTTCCTTTAAAAATAGTTGTTGTTTTGATACCATTAGCAGTTGAAATGTTTGTAACAAACTAATCAAGGCTGGATATCAGGTACGTTATTTATTTTACCGCAAAAAAACCCCAACGAACAAAGCATACAAAACAACAACGATGGTTCAGCTCTGAGAAGACTCAGCTATTGTATTTCATTATTTGCCAATCAATATATTCCCAAGACAAATTAAAACTCACACATCAAGCTACAAAGGAAAAAGTTAACAATCATCTTAGTGCTCCCCAAAATTCAATCAGTTTGCCAGTTAAGCACTTCCCAGAGGCAGCTCAGCAATATTATGATACTCACAACAGTGTTCAGCTATGTCAAAGGTTGGAAAATACTGTTTCAAGGAGCGAGTGATATAATTCCAGCAGCGTTTTAGGAAGGAAATGAGAGGGCTTCATCTATTCTATGCTCTTGCTACCACCTAAGCTAGATAGGGTCACATAGCCATAAATATATGCTTTAACTCAGTGATTCCCAAACTTTTTTTTACCAGAGACCATTCTCCAATATTAGTACCAATGGAGTTACGAATCGGTTTTTGGCCAACTTTAGATTCGGTTTGGTTATTTAGGGTACTGATTCAGAAAATTGCTTTGGATAAACCACATCAGCTCAATTTTCTGATACAGAACATATGCCATCCAATAGTCACCATCTGCTTGCCCACAGAAAACCATATTTAATCATCTAGAACTGATATGGTCTATCCAATGCATTTTTCTGAATCAGCACCCCAAATAACCCCAGTAACAGGCCTAAAAACAAAGACACCAAGG